CCTACCCCAGCCCGGTGACAGTGAGTGAGCATGGGGGAGAGCGAGCAATGGAGGGAGAGGGAATGTAGTGAGCAGGGCGGGGCCTGGGAGAAGGGGCAGGGATTTGTGAGATTAGACAGTTAGCAACCCTAGGCACAAACCCAGTTCTTGTGCTCCCATGACTGGCTCCCCAGCCCAAAGGAGTTAGTCGTCTTTCCATTAACTCCCCCACTCTGGGGGCACTAGGGCCTGGATGGTGCCTTCCTCCCACCACATGGCCTGGGGAAAAAACTGTGTAGAGGAGCCAGACTCCAGATGGTAGAGGCAGAAACAGCCAAAACAGGGACCCTTGGAAACTCAGAGAGCTTTCTACAATGTTGCCTGGATTTTCTCTGCCCTGTGCTGATTGGCTGTTTGCACCAACCCTCACCCTCCTTCTCCCTCCCCATCTGTTCACCTAAGTGTCACTCCTTACATGCTCCTCTTATCCACTTTTCCCCTGCCCTGTCCCCCCTTCCCTTTTCTTTCCATTCACAGTTGATCACTTCCTCCTCCTCATTCCCCCTTCACTGAGCTTCTGTGGCATTATACTCTCATGACTTCCTCTTACCTTACTGACCCAGCTTTCAGCATTTCCTTCAGGGCTCATTCTCCAGTCCCTCCCTCTCTTTGTTGGAGTCCTACATATTTCCATTATAGGCCACATCCTCTTCTTCCTCTACTTACTTCCCCCGTGGGCTCATTCAATCCCACATGTCTGTGCTGACTCCCACCTCTTCTGCTGTATTCTTTCCTTTTCTCCATCTGTCCATTCTAACTACCTAGATATGTTTTATACCGCACCCACCAACACAATATCTTACAAGTGCCCTGTTTATCCACAGGCTACACTTACAGCAGCCTCCTTACCTCAGGCTGTCTTTCCCCTTTCCAGTTTATATTCCTGCATTGGGAAAATGGTCCACACCTAGGGTATCTGTACTTCAACTACTGTCATCCTACTCTTCTCTGAGCTCTCCACATCCTCCCGTCCACTCCTCTCTGATCCACCAAAGAACATGCTCTTCTCCCATTTCCTCTCCTCTCATAATCCAGCTGATCAATTCCTCAACCAACTTCTCCTTTCCATCTGGCCTAAATTCAAACTCCTGGTCCTCACCTTCAGCATCTGATCTCATAATAAACTCCCTATCTCATTCTCTGTCTCATCTTTTCTCCTAACTGATTCTTTGGCCTTTTTTTTGGTTACAATCCTTCTTTCATACAACTCCATGCATTTAGACTCTATCTACCATACTATCTGATCACGTGCCTTCTTTCTGGCCTTCCAATCCCTCCTTAAAACTAGGTTTCAGAGTAGCAGCTGTGTTAGTCTGTATCTGCAAAAAAGAAAAGGAGTACTTGTGGCACCTTAGAGACTCACAAATTTATTTGAGCATAAGCTTTCATGAGCTACAGCTCACTTCATCGGATGCATTCAGTGGAAAATACAGTGGGGAGATTTATATACACTGGAAACCTGGAAATCCTGGACGCCCCATCATCTCAGGCATTGGCACCCTGACAGCAGGATTGTCCGGCTATGTAGACTCCCTCCTCAGGCCCTACGCTACCAGCACTCCCAGCTATCTTCGAGACACCACTGACTTCCTGAGAAAACTACAATCCATCGGTGATCTTCCTGAAAACACCATCCTGCCCACTATGGATGTAGAAGCCCTCTACACCAACATTCCACACAAAGATGGACTACAAGCCATCAGCAACACTATCCCCGATAATGTCACGGCAGGCCTGGGGGCTGAACTTTGTGACTTTGTCCTCACCCATAACTATTTCACATTTGGGGACAATGTATACCTTCAAATCAGCGGCACTGCTATGGGTACCCGCATGGCCCCACAGTATGCCAACATTTTTATGGCTGACTTAGAACAACGCTTCCTCAGCTCTCGTCCCCTAATGCCCCTACTCTACTTGTGCTACATTGATGACATCTTCATCGTCTGGACCCATGGAAAAGAAGCCCTTGAGGAATTCCACCATGATTTCAACAATTTCCATCCCACCATCAACCTCAGCCTGGACCAGTCCACACAAGAGATACACTTCCTGGACACGACAGTGCTAATAAGCGATGGTGACATCAACACCACCCTATACCAGAAACCTACTGACCGCTATGCCTACCTACCTGCCTCCAGCTTTCATCCAGACCATATCACACGATCCATTGTCTACAGCCAATCTCTATGATACAACCGCATTTGCTCCAACCCCTCAGACAGAGACAAACTCCTACAAGATCTCTATCAAGCGTTCTTACAACTACAATACCCACCTGCTGAAATGAAGAAACAGATTGATAGAGCCAGAAGATTACCTACTACAGGATGGGCCCAACAAAGAAAATAACAAAGCCACGAGCCATCACCTTCAGCCCCCAACTAAACCCACCTCTCCAACGCATCATCAAGGATCTACAACCTATCCTGAAGGATGACTCATCATTCCCACAGAACTTGGGAGACAGGCCAGTCCTTGCTTACAGACAGCCCCCTCAACCTGAGGCAAATACTCACCAGCAACCACACACCACACAACAGAACCACTAACCCAGGAACCTATCCTTGCAACAAAGCCTGTTGCCAACTGTGTCCACATATCTATTCAGGGGACTAATCTATTCATAGGGCCTAATCACATCAGCCACACTATCAGAGGCTCGTTCACCTGCACATCTATCAATGTGATATATGCCATCATGTGCCAGCAATGCCCCTCTGCCATGTACATTGGTCAAACTGGACAGTCTCTACGTAAAAGAATAAATGGACACGTAAAAGAATAAATCATAGAATTCTATGATTCTATGACACAAATCAGACGTCAAGAATGATAACATTCAAAAACCAGTCGGAGAACACTTCAATCTCTCTGGTCACTCGATTACAGACCTAAAAGTGGCAATTCTTCAACAAAAAAACTTCAAAAACAGATTCCACCAAGAGACTGCTGAATTGGAATTAATTTGCAAACTGGATACAATTAACTTAGGCTTGAATAAAGATTGGGAGCAGATGGGTCATTACACCAAGTAAAACTATTTCCCCAGGTTTATTCCCCACCCCACCCCCGCTGTTCCTCAGACGTTCTTGTCAACTGCTGAAAATGGCCCACCTTCATTATCACCTCAAAAGGTTCTCCCCTTCCCCCCCCCGGCTCTCCTGCTGGTAATAGCTCATCTTACCTGATCACTCTCGTTACAGTGTGTATGATAACACCCATTGTTTCATGTTCTCTGTGTATATAAATCTCCTCACTGTATTTTCCACTGATGCATCTGATGAAGTGAGCTGTAGCTCATGAAAGCTTATGCTCAAATACATTTGTTAGTCTCAAAGGTGCCACAAGTACTCCTTTTCTTTTTCCTTAAAACTAGTGTCTTCTGCATAGACTTTCTATGCTGATTTCAGAAACAAGGTCTCTTGAGTGTTCTTGAGCCTCAAATGTTTTCCCAGGTCTGATTTGTTGTGCCACATATTGTATTCCTCTAAATATTACAAGTTTTTCAGGTGAGGGAGTGTGTCTTTAAATAAGTTCTGTAAAGTACCACATATGTTTAGAGCAGTATACAAATGAACAGCTACAGAGCTGTGCATATTTTCTCCATAACTAACTAGTGGATCCATTCAGAAGAAGTGTTAACCTGTTGCTTAAGGCCAAAGAGCCCTGATCACAGATTAAGGGAGCAGAGTTTATCAAAATTAAATTCCCTTCCCCTACTACTCCCTGTTCTGGACTTTTCTTCTTCTTTCACATCAGCTGCAACACTGGGGCCATACAGCTCATGTGAGTTATGATACTGACTCAAAAAGAAGAGAAAGATGGGCCCTCTCTAGCTTAGAGGATGCTATTTTTTAAAAATCTGCTATTGTGATCGGGGTTCCTTTCCCCTCACCAGTTCTGATCCCAACTTCTGGGGGATTTGGTGGGGGGACACTCCCTATGTCCCCATTCACCCGCCAAATAAGATTTTAGTTTCTTTGGAGGCGAAAGGAAAGAAAGACGATAAGTCAGTCTTCAGTCCCAGGCCCTCTTCTTGTCTGCTAAGTATCGAGCTGTCAGCCAGAGAGATGTAACACGTTTAGGTGGCGCGGAGCTTTATAAAACATATCAGTTAATGGCATATCATACAAGTCATACAAGAACTGACCCCACCCCATTTTAGCTGTTGGGTTCCTGTTCACTATCTATAGCATTTGGCCTCATCTGTGACTACTCCCTTTAGAAAGTGGGAGTCATGAACAGATTAGGTGGCCATTGTTATGGGTAAGTACTCTTCAGACTCAGGATCAACCTCCATGTTAGAGTACCCCACAGAGCTTCCAAGAACCAGCTGCTATAGAATCTGTATTTCTCTGAAAAGATCCCAAATATATTCTCTCAAAAACCGGATATAAAAAGAAGTAAGCAAAATGTAATTTAAATAGAATGCAATATAATTGTATCAGCACTGTTTTCTATGATGCAATTGGTCAACTTTGTATACATTCATTTCACATTTTGAACTTTTTCTGACGTTTTTAAAACCTCCCATATGCTGAATATTTATATTTTAAGAGTTTTCCTTTATTTTTTCATACCTCACACTAAATACATTTTTAGGATGCAGCCTCCACATAGGAGATAGGTTGCCAGGAACATTCATTCCATTTCAGAAGAATCATCTAAATGTACATTTAAAAATACATATATTTTTAAATAATGCTTTTCGTACACAAGCAGTAGTAGTATTTAATAAATAACCCTTCAGGATGGCATCTCCCACCAGTCTGTAAGAGCAGGACAGAATCTTGAGATTTACATAAAAATGGTCTGATTCACAGGTCTTTTTTACTGAGCCTCTCATTGACTTTAATGGGCAATGGGTGACATACTTAAATTGCAATTGCATGCTCTTATTTCATACACCAAACATGTACATATTATAAATAAATACATATGATATTCTGAAATACCTTTGACTATCAATTCTGCATAGCTTGATACTCCAGCTCCTCCTTCTGTGCGAATCATGCAGCGGTAATTGCCAGCATCTCGCTTTGTAGCGTTCACCACATTAAAAAAAGCTACGAATCGGCGATCATTAGACACCTTTATGTCCTTCAAAGGTGCATCCCTTACATAAATGCCCTAGAGTAAGACACAAAAGTAAAAATGTTGTTTTAAAATAAAAACATTTATTGGAAAACAACTTTATTTCTCCAACTCTCTCAAAAGAGGGGGGAAAAGCAGAGGTCACAAAATGTTAAATTTAAAGACATTTCCAACATATAACATTTCTGTTCTATTCCAATTAGGGTTAAAACAACAGCAGTAGGCAATCATTCACCTGGAACAACTGGCAAGGCTGCTCGTCTGTACTCTTTATAGATGAACGAGTACACAGATTTAAGAGCAATAGCACTTATTTGCTTGGTTTATTTGTATTCAAGATATTAAAGCATTTTTTTAAAGCGATGTGCAAATCAATATGCCCTAAATCTCTTTCCTCCTTTCCCCAGACCTGCTGATAAGCACATGGATCTTCCCCAGCCTGCATGTAAGGGAAACAGCTTCTCTCATGGCCCTGTCCTTGCCTAGAGCCACTATTTGATTTGGGTATCCATACAACTGGGGTGAAAGAAGGTACATGCATTACATATCATTACATGTATCCGGGATAGTTTAAACTTTAGATAACACTTAGTCCTGCCACTGCAGGACACTTGACTAGATGACCTCTCAAAGTCCCTTTCAGTCCTATGATTCTATGATTATCCTCACTGTAAACTAGCAAGAAATTGTCAAGAAAGTTAATACAGGCTCAGGCTACATTACTAGAGCTTGTCATGAATTTTTCAACAAAACATTTTTTGCCAGAAAATACTTATTCGTCAAAAGCGAAACTTTTTTCTGAAATGTGTCAGTTTCAACATAACTGTCATCGGAAAGATGGAAAGGCTTTCCAGGTCCAGGTTGGAATTTCTGGTCAAAACCAAAGAAAGAGACAGAGATCCCTTGCAGATTAGCGAATAGCCTTGTGGTTAGGTTATTCACCTGGACTGCAGGAGACGCTAGTTCAAACCTCTGCTCCAAAGGAAGGAAGGACTTGAACTGCAATACCCACTTCTCACGTGAGTGCTCTAACACTACTGGTTATTGGGGGGAAGGGCCCTGGAGGTATCTGCCTGTCATACTGTTTGAGAAAATTGTCAAAAGCATTCAGTGTCCCAATGTGGAATGAAAACAAATGTTGAAACCTCAACATTTTCTGCAAAATGGAATTCTTGTTTTCTGCCCAGCACTATTTATTCCCCATACTATGTGCTCCTTTGAACCGTGGAGCATCCCACTTACCACCACAGAGCCTCATAATGAATCTCTTAGGCTTCAGGGGGAGGGGGACCTGCAGTTTCTGAGAACTGAACCCTTTCTTATTCTGAATTTCTACAGGACTGAAAGGAAACATCATTCCCCTAGCAGAAGAATTCACAGAAAACCCAGAGAGGAATCTTGTAGCGTTTTAGGCCCTCGGTGCCATTTTTTCTGCAGAGGGGCATGCAGCAGCCTATACCATTTAACTGTATTTGTTGTTTTTGTTATGTTCCTGTGACTTTATTTAAGAACACAGAGCAGGCTACAAAACTGTATGAACTATCTAAGACAGCTAGCCCTCTCTGTTTTCTATCCTAAGAATTTGTAGTTTGTGTTGCAAAATTTAAGATCCAGTAAGGAAATGCTGAGCTCAGTTTGTTAATTATCATGTTTAGTTGTCAACATATTGAAAAAAGAAAGGAGTACTTGTGGCACCTTAGAGACCAACAAATTTATTTGAGCATAAGCTTTCGTGAGCTACAGCTCACTTCATCGGATGCATTCACTGGAAAATACAGTGGGGAGATTTTATATACACAGAGAACATGAAACAATGGGTGTTACCATACAGGCTGTAACAAGAGTGATCAGGAAAGGTGAGCTATTACCAGCAGGAGAGTGGGGGCCGGAAGGAACCTTTTGTAGTGATAATCAAGGTGGGCCATTTCCAGCAGTTGACAAAAATATATGAGGAACAGTAGGGAGGAGGGAATAAACAAGGGGAAATAGTTTTACTTTGTGTAATGACACATCCACTCCCAGTCTTTATTCAAGCCTAAGTTAATTGTATCCAGTTTGCAAATTAATTCCAATTCAGCAGTCTCTCATTGGAGTCTGTTTCTGAAGTTTTTTTGTTGAAGAATTGCCACTTTTAGGTCTGTAATCGAGTGACCAGAGAGATTGAAGTGTTCTCCGACTGGTTTTTGAATGTTATTAAGAATTTTTATTTATATATATATATATATGTTAATATAATATATGTAGCTCACGAAAACGTATGCTCAAATAAATTTGTTAGTCTCTAAGGTGCCACAAGTGCTCCTTTTCTTTTTGCGGATACAGACTAACACAGCTGCTACTCTGAAACATATTGAAAGTAACCTTAAAATACTGTTAATAGCCATTGAAAGCTGCAAATAATAGTCACACTAAATTGGTTATTGTACATAATTCATGAAGCCAGAGTCAATGTTAATCACAGTATTAATGCCAATGTAGCAGGATATTACACAGAAAATAATGATTTGCATTATTTTAATGAGTACGGTAATATAATGTCATTTCTCTTTTAAATGTAAATTTGTGGTGACAGCATTGTAATTTAAAATTTTAGAAGTATGTACGATTCCCAAAGTGGAAAACTGAGAGAGCCATTGTTTAAAAATTATTTATCCCCGTATCTGAGCACGACTTGAGGCAATTACCAGCTCCTTAAAATTCCTAGAAATCTTTTTCCCTGCCGGAGTGACATCACAATTACTATAAGCAAAGCTCAGAAAGAACCATTTCAAGCCAAACCATTATTTTCATTCCCTTTGCTTATGGTAGTTGTGATGTCATTCTGGCAGAAAGACTAGGAAGTTAGCAGATAAGTTTAATTAGGAATTTAGGGAATTAATAATGTTTGAAGTGCAGTACTAATTTGATTTTTAACACAAGTCAGTCAGTGATTTAGGCCTAATTATCAGAGTTGCTGAGCAATAAGAGTTGCCACTGATTTCAAGTAGAGTTCTGTGTACGCAGCACCTACATCTTCTTCCTTTCTAACCTACCAAAAAATGTGAAAAATATAATTTAGACACAAGACAGACAGGCACAAAAAAAAAAACAGGCTGAAAGACTCATCTTGTGGACTGCTTTGGGACTCTTTAAGAGTAGGCGAGCGTTGTGAGTAAAGCAGATAACGGGCTTAGACTCATGGTCCTGACTAGCCAGAAGTTTATTGGATTGTCTCAATTACAACAGAACTGCAGAACTATTGAAGTATATTGAAAATTATTTCTAGCTAACATGATGGTATTTCTTCATGGCATAATGAGATGAACAGTTTGTTTTGCAGGAGAAACAGCAAAAGGATGGCAATTTAGCCTCTGGGAGGAGAAAATACATTTTACTCACTCACTGACTTTAGATGGTAGGAGTAGAGAAGAAACAGATGGCTAGATTACCCTGTCCTTGCAACTGTGAAGCGGGCGAAGGGTCATAAGAAACTCCCAACCACTGGCCTTTTGCCCTCATGGAGGATCAAGTCACATTCATATTCCCCGTACTTGGTAGCGCTCAGGTCCTAATCCCTCCTATTGCAAGGGCACAAGTCACTCCAAAGGGAGGTCAGGAGAGATGGCGCTATGACTTTACATAACCTTCACATCCATTTGTACAGCTAGAAAACAGAGAGGAGAGACGGCTAGACCAGGCAAAAGCGTGGTTTATACTGCATAGTCTTCCCCTTTCTCCCAGGACTGGGAAAGGATTGTCCCTTGACAGGTCCCCTTGGAGGTCTTCCTGGGGTTGTGCCACTCCATTCCTCCTGCAATACAGACTAGATCGTAATATACACAAAGGGCATGTCTATACTGCACAAAAAGGTGTGTTGTTAATGCAGGTTAAAATAGCCATGAAAACATGGCAACTCATCTTTTAACTTGGTGAGCAGCTTGAGCTTGGGTTAACAGCTACAAATAGCACCATGGATGTTGCAGTACTGGCAGTGGCTCAGGTTGGCTCCAATCCCACCCAACCGCCCTTAGGTCTGATCTGGAGTGGCTAGCCCGAGCTGCCATCCTACCACACTGTCCACGCTGCTATTTTTAGCACACTAAGTCAAGTGGAGCTAGCACAAGTCTATCTGAACTGGGAATCACATTGCTCAACTGCAGTGTAGACATACCCATAGAGGCTTTAACTCAAGCTGCTCATGTGAGTGCTGAATTGAGTCGCTGTGTCTTCATTGTCATTTTAATCCAAATTAGCTAACACAGGTTAGCTAACCTGAGTTAACAACTGTCATAAATATAAAGGGAAGGGTAAACACCTTTAAAATCCCTCCTGGCCAGAGGAAAAACCCTTTCACCTGTAAAGGGTTAAGAAGCTAAAGGTAACCTCGCTGGCACCTGACCAAAATGACCAATGAGGAGACAAGATACTTTCAAAAGCTAGGGGGAGGGAAAAACAAAACCTCTCTGTCTGGGTGATGCTTTTGCTGGGGACAGAACAGGAATGGAGTCTTAGAACTTAGTAAGTAATCTAGCTAGATATGCGTTAGATTCTGATTCCTTTAAATGGCTGAGAAAATAAGCTGTGCTGAATGGAATGTAGATTCCTGCTTTTGTGTCTTTTTGTAACTTAAGGTTTTGCCTAGAGGGATTCTCTGTGTTTTGAATCTAATTACCCTGTAAGGTATTTACCATCCTGATTTTACAGAGGTGATTCTTTTTACTTTTTCTTCTATTAAAATTCTTCTTTTAAGAAACTGAATGCTTTTTCATTGTTCTTAAGAGCCAATGGTTTGGGTTTGTGTTCACCTACGCAAATTGGTGAGGAATTTTATCAAATCTTCCCCAGGAAGGGGGGTGTAAGATTTGGGAGGATTTTTTTTTGGGGGGGGAGGCGTTTCCAAATGGGCTCTTTCCAAATTATATCCCTGTTAGACGTTTGGTGGTGGCAGCGATAAGTCCAAGGGCAAAAGGTAAAATAGTTTGTACCTTGGGGAAGTTTTAACCTAAGCTGGTAAAAGTAAGTTGAGGAGGTTTTCATGCAGGTCCCCACATCTGTTC